TGTTGAGTTGTGCTTTTGTACCCTTACCATGCAGTGAATACATCATGACGAAAAGATGCTTCTGAATTCACTTATGCTTTGAAATGAAGTCGCGTTGAATCCATCACCTAGACTTTAAAAGCAATAGTTTCCACATCCTGAGACTTGTTATTTATCCCAGAGATGGCCCATGCTCCCTGCCCCTTGGAAGCTCCCTGGGCACAGTCTTCCATTTCCAAGTCCCCCAGGATCCTGGTACCCCTAAGCCCGCCTGCTGGCTGTTGGGGGCTCTGCGTGGTCCTTGGGCAGAGGGAGTTGCTTTGTCTCCTCCCACAGGAGCTGCTGGAGCACGGAGTGTGTGAGGAGGTGGAGAGGGTCCGGCTGTCAGAGAGGTACCAGACCATGAAGGTACGTGCAGGGCAGACACCCCACCCTGGGCAGGGGCGCCCAGCTCCTCGGTCCTCCCCCCGAGCGACAGCACAGTTCATGCCATGAAGCAGGCAGGGGTCAGAGAAGGTCTCCCTGGGGAGCTGGCAGCTAAGCCGACACTCGAGATGCGCGAGGCTGCCAAACGGAGGTCGGCCAGGAGACGCTTGCTTTGAGCACAGGGAATTTTCTAGATCACTCAGCACCGTCTGTTCTCCTTGGACTATCAATGGGACATTCTCAAGTAGGTTCCATGCTCTGGCATGTTAAACAGAGTACACTGAACAAAACAGAACCTTTTCCTGGAGCCTGGGGCGACCGAGTGTGTGTGGCTTCTCCCTTGCACTGTCTCTGCCTTTATGATCTCACGGACTTCTCAGTGTCACCCTGCCTGTGTCCACAGTGCACCTTCCCACGGCTTCTGCTCACTTCTGGGCTCAAATGGAGCTGCTGGGGCTCTCCTGGATGCCTCGGTCGTGCTGTTGACACCCTGGTTTTGTGGCTGGAGGCCGTCAGATCAGTGATCGGTGAAGTGGGGCTTCGCCGCAGGGTGGGTCACAGGTGCCATGGGAAGTCACCCAGAACATGAGGGTCAGTGAGGCGGTGAGAAGGGGGGCTTCTAGGGGAGGGCAGAGCCATCTGCCCTCTCTTGGGTGCTCCGAGGTCCAGAAAGAGAGAAGTATGTTAACAATTAGAAGTGTGTTGTTATATGCGGTATGATTAGGTTATCCGTCAGGAGGCTGATGGTGACAGTGACCCAGCTTATGCTCCTGGTTCAGGGGATCTAGGGAAAGGTGGCCTGCACAGCCCCAAAAGAGCAGGGCCACAGCTGGTCTGCAGGGCTAGGGGATGCCCGGCCGTTCCTCCTTCTCTCTGCATTTTGGTTGAGACGGGGCCACAGAAGGTGCCTCTGCCATGCATGACAGCCTCCATCACTTCCTGGGACTGGCTGCCCTTCTATTTCAATTCCCAAAACTCCTGAGGCGGGGCTCTGAGGGACTGGCCTGGGGCAGGTGCCCGCCCCAACCAACAACCTATAGTCAGGGAAGAAACAGGTGACTTGCTAGGGCTGGGGTCAGGAACCACCCCCCTCCCCCTCCCCAGGCAAGGGCAGGCGGCCACCCCACGAGAGGTTGGCCCCAGCAGCATAGTTCCCATGGCCCTGGATGTCTGGGCTGGCCTGTGGCCACACAGTGGCACTGGCTGTGTGTGAGCCTGGAGCAGAGCCCTCCCAGCCGCCCCACACTGTTCCTTCCAAATCCTGCTAAGACAACCCCCAGTTGTTAATTGCCCATCATTTTCTCTGTTTCTTAAGAAGCAGATCCATGGTAATACGTTCCAGCTGCTGGTAAGTGGGAGCCGCGTGGTTTTCGTAGTGAATGGACAGACTGTCAGGATGACTGGAGGATGGAATCACCAGCTAGAACTGTGCGAGTTCTGGGGAGAGACCCTCCTAGAAGAGGAGACCGAGGCCGGGAGAGGGGAGGGAGCACGTGGGGTCCTCCCTGCCCTCCCCTGCGAGGGTGCGCTGAGTCCTCGCCTGTGCACTCACTGTGGGATCTTGAGCAGTTTGCTTAAACTTGAAAATGTGAGTGGGCATGATGCCTGCCAGGCCACGCGATGACTTGATGAGGCCACCCATGAGAAGCTGCAGTGGTGCCAGCCAGGGACACGCCCTTCCCAGGTCAGTGCCGCCATCGGCATCTTGTTACCAGCTTTGCTCCTCACCACGCTGTGCTCATCCTCCGAACAGCTCTTCACCCAGATCTTTGGGGTCGGGGTAAAGACGGCTGACCGCTGGTACCGGGAAGGGCTGCGGACCCTGGACGACCTCCAAGAGCAGCCCCAGAGACTGACCCAGCAGCAGAAAGCAGGTGAGCCCTCTGACAGAGGGCTGGGGCCTGGGCTTCCTCAAAGCACCTGGGCCTGAAAGCTTCCTACGCCTTGGAGCCCTGAGCTCTGATGCACGGCCCGGGCTGATGGCTGCCTGTGTGGCAGGGAATGGGGTGAGAGGGAAGGGGTTCCAGTGTCAGGCAGAAAGGCAGGCATCTTTGTTTTGGTGGGCTTACCGACCCAGGGGAGTCAGGACCCATCGCAGGCCCCTCTCAGTGAGTGATCATGGTCACGGGAGCTGCCGTGACATTCAGGGCCTCCTGGCTAGACTTGGACTTGAACCAGGCATGGACCCCTTACTCCTGATTCCATGGAGGGGAGGGCATGTCAGCACAGCCCAAGCCCTGGGCATACTTGCCAGCATGGTGCTTGGCGCCCCGGCCTGCTGGCTGATGGTGTGGGGACCTGTGCTCATCAGGAGAGGCCCAGGTAGGAGGGGGCACCATGCAGTGGAAAGAACGTGAACTTGAGAGTTTATTAGGCCTGGATTTGGGTTCTGTCTTTGCCACCCACTAGGTAGGAGACTGTGGCCCCGAGTCCTGACTTCTCTGAGCCTCAGTTATGTTCTCTGTAAAGCACGGGATTCCTCGGTGTGAGGACAGCAGGTGGCTCGTTCTCGGCCTCTTAGAACATCTTCCCAGGGGCTGGGGGAGGGGAGGCCACCTGGGGGGCCTGGGAGAGTGGCCTGGTCAGTCAGCAGGAAGTGAGGCACACAGAGCTGTGTGTCCAGTGGAGCGTTACGCGGTGACGTCCGTGGGTTCCACTCTGTCACCCCTCCCTGAGCGTGGCAAAGACAGGAATGGCCAGCAGCGCTTACTGAGAGCACCCTCTGCCGGGTGCTGACTCCCACACTTAAGCCTCCCCTAACCGTGTGTGAAAGGTGCTGTGATTCCTCTGACAGGTGAGGGACGGACTTGGGCTGAAGTGAGGTGTTCTAAATAGCAGAGCCATCTCCTTCACATCTCCTTTATCACCCCCTGGTCCCATTTTATGGATGGGGAAACTGAGGCATTAAAAGGGACCATCTGTGCCTTGACTGTGTCAGCATCAGTATTCGGCTGTGATGGATAATAAGTCTGCAAGATGTTATCTTGCAGGGAACCGGGCAGAGGGCACGGCGAACCTCTGTTATTTCCTTCAACTGCATGTGAATCTACAGTTATTTTAAAATAAAAGTTTACAATGTAAAAGGGAGGAGAGGAGAGTGGGAGACAGCTGGGTCAGGAGGGCTGGCTGTGCTGCCCACAGGCCTGCAGCACCACCAGGACCTAAGCGCCCTGATCCAGCGGTCGGACGCCGAGGCCCTGCATCAGGTGGTGGAGGCAGCCGTGGGGCAGGCCCTTCCTGGGGCCACCGTCACGCTGGCCGGCGGCTTCCGGAGGTAAGGGGGCTCGACGTGCCTTCCGGCTCAGCTCCAGGCCTTTCCCGGGGAAGGGATCTGGGGTGGGCCTCCCCTCGCTGAAGGGAGTGGGGAGAACACGCAGGCTGTGAGTCAGACTGGCCCCCACAGGGGGAAGTTGCAGGGCCACGACGTGGACTTCCTCATCACCCACCCCCAGGAGGGCCGGGAGGCAGGGCTGCTGCCCAGAGTGATGTGCTGCCTGAAGAAACAGGTGAGGGGCTCCCCGGTCCCCCTGCTGGGGGTACTGCTGGGATCCGGGCCCCACCCGGCAGTGCCCGGCCATGCCTCCTCTCCCCCCAGGGCCTTGTCCTCTACCACCAGCATCAGCACAGCCAACAGCGAGACCCCGCCCACCCGACCCGGCAGAACCACACCATGGACGCCTTTGAGAGGAGTTTCTGCATTTTCCGCCTGCCGCGACCCCCGGGGGCTGATGTCGAGGGATGCCAGGAGCCCTGCCCCACCTGGAAGGCGGTGCGCGTGGACCTGGTGGTCGCCCCCAGCAGCCAGTTCCCCTTTGCCCTACTCGGCTGGACCGGCTCCAAGGTAGGGAGTGTGCTGCTGGGGGCCAGGCCTGGGGCTGGCGGCCGGGTGACAAGGTCACTTTTCCCCCAGCATTTTGAGCGGGAGCTGCGCCGCTTCAGCAGGAAGGAGAGGGGGACTCTGGCTGAACAACCACGGTCTGTTTGATACGGAGCAGGTGTGTTGCTGGGATGGGAGGCCTGGGGGCAGAAAACGGCTTTCTCCCTGACTCACGGTCTGAATTGGCCCCCCCACCCCGAAGATGCACCCCACTGTGGGGCTGGCCTCTGCCTGCCCTTCCAGCCGCCTCCCCACACCTTCCTCAGGGAAGCCACCGTGGTGGTGGGGATGGCTCCAGGGCACTGAAGCCCCTACTCTGTTGCAGAAGACGATTTTCCACGTGACTTCAGAGGAAGACATCTTCAGATACCTGGCCCTTGAGTACCTTCCCCCAGAGCAGAGGAATGCCTGACCCTGTCAGTCGGCCCCTACTTCCACTCCTTGGAGATGGGGGTGCTGTTCAAGCCATACCCTATGGATGTCCTTGGTCCCTGGACGTTTTCAGGTGGAAGCTGCCCTCCTGCCCCCAGTCCCCACTCCAAGTGGGAGCCCTGTCTGTGCGGACCAGCACTCCCCCACCCACACCTGGTTCAAGATGTAATGAAATGAGCACATGGGACAAACTCAGCTCTATTTTC